GTGTGGCCAAATACTTGTTTTTTAACCACCCATTTCATCATCCTCTCAAGCGGTAAAAATACATTTCCCATGCGTCAGTTGAAGATTTGCTGGAAAATATATGGTAAAAGTTAACCATTCTTAGTACAAAATATTTTACTGATGAAAAAAAGGAATGACTTCCTTTTAATATATTTGCATCTAAGAGATGCAAATATGCAGAACTGGCTGGACTCTGTGCTAAAATATCAACATTTCCATGAACAAATAAATCCCTATTAAACAATGCCAGTAAATAAAATTTGCTTCCTACCCCCATGCCAGCCACAAGGTTTAAATGGTTCTGAAGCATGGAGAAAACATCTGTGAGGGGCAGTTGGCCAATCCAGAGAGATTATCACAGCTTTTGTATAAATAGAATTTAGGACACTTTTCTCTCTCTTCATTTTTCATGCAGCTTGGATTCATAAGTGTGAGATTATGGCATGAATGGCTCAGAAATACACAGAAAACTAAAGTGAATGATTTTTGTAATTAAAGCTGTGGATGTTTGCCTTAATTTTTTTCCTTGATAATTAAACCCTTCAGTGTTCATGTCTGATAATTCATAATAAAATATTTGGGCAACTAACACCAGTGAAGATTACCTCAGAAAAGTGTCTGATAACCTATTTTATTTGGTCACACTTTGGTAGGATTCTTTGGAATTATGTGATTTGAAAGAATCCCATATTCTAACACAGCATGCCATATAGAAAAGATCCAAAAATCAAAGTATGATCCTCAGTGTTTAATGTGTTGATCTAAGATTACACAATTCATATAAAGTAAACCTTGCTGCCAGGGTTGAAGCCACTTGAGAGCAAATAATCAGAGCTCCCAAGCGGATGTGATGTCTGCCAAAAGCTGCAAAACTTGCATACAGTGCCAAACAGAAGCCACACAGCTGCAGGTCAGGGTCAGATCCACTCCTAAGCTCCTGAGTGGATCTAATGTGGTACTGTGGCTTTCATTGCCAAGTATGGAACGAAGGCTCCAAACTGTTACTTTGCAAAAGTGGTATACCTTCAGCCATCCCTGACATCATACACTAGGTGACGGATAGGTTGGAAGCTCTGCCACCTGTTAAGTGCAACCTGCAGAGGCTTGGCCACAACTGGATCTCTCCTGCCAGTTAAAACTTGTTCTCTGCCCCTTGCGTAACCCTTCAAGATGTCTAGGATTCTTCACTTGTTGGGTGGGGAAACAACAATGTTGAGGGGGATAGCTCTTGTTAGACAGACCCTAGAAATAAGCAGGCCACAGAGCATCCACAGTGCCGAAGGCGCTTTCATAGCATCACCTGCAGGAGACAAATTCCTCAGCCAGCCCACCAAACAACAACAGCTCCACAGAAAGCGAATGCTGATAGCCTGCAGATTACAGTGGTACCACGGGTTACATACACTTCAGGTTACATATGCTTCAGGTTACAGACTCCACTAACCCAGAAATAGTACATTGGGTTAAGTACTTTGCTTCAGGATGAGAACAGAAATTGTGCTCCGGCGGCACAGCGGCAGCAGGAGGCCCCATTAGCTAAAGTGGTGCTTCAGGTTAAGAACAGTTTCAGTTTAAGAACAGACCTCTGGAACAAATTAAGTACTTAACCCGAGGTACCACTGTACTGACTGTCCTCCTCACCCCAAAGGAAGTTTATAGGATCACCCTGACAAGAGCTGTTCTTGATTATACTGAAGAAAAAAGTGGATTGTTACAAAACTTGCAATGGATCACTGAGTTGAGGCCTTTCAGCCTACATTTAACGTTTATTTATGGCACTGAAATATTCTGGTGGATCTTTTGTTTAATTGGTTAACTGAGGGGAAAGGTTCTTAAGTTAGACAGATGGTAGCAAGGAAATCTCCACAGAAAGGAGAAGCAAGCAAGTGCACCAGAGTTCTCCATCCCAGCTGGAGAAGCCACTCACCATCCATATGAAAGAAGGGGGTTTGTACTGTGGAGAAGGGTTTGCTCTGGACTTCTCTTGCACAAAATATCCCTCTCCATGGGTCTATATTATTCTTTGGCAAAACAGGAAATGTACCCACTAAATCCACCTTGTACTGCTCTAACAATGAGAAGATCTTAATACTATATATACACCTCACAGACTTGGTACTATAGATACCCTACAGATTTTTCATCTCAACAATAATGGTTGCTTCTATGGACTTTGCTATGAGGCAATCAGTGTCTGCCATATGCATTCTTTCCCACACTCAACTATTGGTATAAGAACCCATTATCATATGCCGTAAGATGGGATGGCAGGTTAAAATTCACTTGTGAATTTCACTTGACTTTCACCAGCAAAATGGAACTTTCTCCTCTCCCTTGCAGCTCCCTACACATTCTCAAAAGCAGCTCTAGCGCATTGGGTGACAGTAACAAGCCAGCAGTAAATCACACCAAACAAGCGGGAGTTAACTCTATTAGCAAAACAGGACCTGCACAGGAGTCACGAGCACATCAACTCAGGTCTTGCCCTCATGAAGCAGTTGCTAAGACTAAAGGTCCTGCTTCCCCACAGCCAGGTATGTCTCCTCCTCTCTAAGTTGCTTTCCAAGCAATAGGCGCCTCTGCATGTGTACCTGTCTCTCCTCCTGCTTCATGCCTTTCCTGGTTGTGGACGATCAGGGGGAGGGGAACTTGTGTTGCCCCCTCCCGCTCCAACCTGTGCTTTTTCACAAGCCTGACCATCTCTGCTTCTTGGCTTCCCTCCTCCCCTGCTTCAGCTTCTGTCTCTAATTCTGGACTTCTTTCTGCCACAGACTCTCCTGGCTCAATAATCCCTGTTACCTCTTCAGCTTCTGACACTACCTCCTCCCAGTCTTCTGCCTCTGACCACTCATTATCATCCCACCAACACTCCCTGAGCTCTGAGCCTTCTTCCCTTGGGGGTTTCCCAGCTGGTTCCCCCCCCCCCATCATTCATTTACATCCAACCAGTCCCTGACTTCAGAGGACCCTTCAGAAAACATTTGGCAAGAAGGTGATGGTAGTGGTGGTGGTGAGTAAATGGAAGTGCCACTACACCAGCAGAACTCTGATGGCAACACTGTGGCTACATTCCCAGGAGTGCACTTCATTGTTGTAGAGCAGGGATGGGGAACCAGTGGCTCTGCAGATGCTTCTGGACTCCAACTTACATCAGGATCCAGCCAGCACTGTCCATGGTCAGGCCTGACAGAAGCTGGAGTCTAACAATATCTGGAGGGTCACAGGCTCCCCAACCTTGCTGTAGGACCATGACTTTTCTGTAAGCAGACCATTTCCTTAAATTAGGAAATAACTGTAAACAAGTATGAGAGAGGCAAAGAATCATTTCTGTGGGCCTTGTTGGAGATTCAGGGTGCAATACTAACTTCCACTCAGCACTAGTGAGTCTCTCACAAATGGTCAGACAGACTGGTTAAGACAAAGGCATTCTTGCTCAGGGTGGTCGCAGCACTGACTATACACCATAGGAAAGGACTATCTGGCCTATGGTTGCAAGAATGTAATGAGGAAAGAATAGAAAGAAAGCAAAGTTTTTTATGTAGAAAAATAATATTTGGCTTGGCACTGAAGACTTCACCTTCCACAAATAGAATGTCTTCTCCAACCACAAGAAGCTTTTGATCCTTCTGGCAAAGGGAAATATGGTGACTTTTGATTCATTTTTTTCTCCTGCAGCCCGCGACACTTCACATACTGCTCTAAAAGACCCCTCAAGAACATTGTGGTGGTACTGGGGGACACAACTTCCTAGACTGTCCCCTTTTTAAAAATTAAAATTAAAATGAAAGTACTCCAAACATGGAATGAATGTTTATTTTTATTTTTTGTTTTCGTTTTCTGTTGATTACTTATGTTATACACTTTTAAAAACCAATACAGCATATAGAAAAGGAAAGGAAAGGAAAGGAAAGGAAAGGAAAGGAAAGGAAAGGAAAGAAAGAAAGAAAGAAAGAAAGAAAGAAAGAAAGAAAGAAAGAACTCTAAACAGCTGGGGGGGGGGACCCTGAGAGCTAGTCTGACTTAGCAAACAGAGTAGGCTTTGGGGATTTTTGACTTTCTCTTCTCTATCATTGGATGCCCTAAGTCTGGATCTCGCAACCTCAGTTCCCCATTGGCAAAAATTGGATTAGTTGTTGTGAAGATGAAGACGCTAGGATTTGGAGCACATTCTGCATGCTGGAGAAATTAACCCCATACAAATGTCCAGCAGCAATGCACTTCCCATGAAAGTACAACTCAATTTCCTTTCAAGACACTGCTGGAAATACAAGGGTTAATAGAACCATAAGAGATGGAATGGAACCACGAGATCATTCAGATCACCCCCAGTATGCTCATCCACACAGCATTCTTCCCCTCTGCACCATAAGCTAGACCACATCTTTCCAAAAAGAGATAGGAGGAATACAGTTCAATCAGCAGAAGAGGGGTAAAATCTTGAATAAAGTTGGGTTGATCAGCTACTGAAAATGTTTCTACAGCCAAACACAGAAACTGTACCAGCATGCTTGCAAGGCAGGAAAACAGTCTACTTGCTATCTTCAAGTCTACAAAGCCAAATTCAAGTCCATGACATAAATACAGTGATAGCAAAATTCTTCAATGCTGAATGACTGCAGTGTTGGTCTCTTGTGTGTGTGCCCATGACCATGAGCTTTGCAACTGTATAAAGAATGAATTTCCTGTGACAAAGAGATCTCTGAATGATTTTTGGTATATAACTCAGATCTTCTTGAGCCGCTCAAGGAAAAGAAACTATTTAATATAGCAAAGAGGGATTCTTTTTTTTTACCCAGAGAACTATTCCATTGTCAAAAGTAAAAGAACCCTTTGAGTTGATGCAAGAGTTTAAAAGGTGCCTGCATTGCACAGGGCTTTGGATGCTTTCAGCAGCCACTATGCTGAAGCTTGAGAATACTGCAAGGGCATGCAGACCGAATGATTTAACACTCGTTGTTCAAGAGACAAAAGACACCTACCTTTCTGCTGCTTAAAGGACTGTATAGAACCCGAGTGGTGAACCATCTTCATATATGGGAGCTTGGCTGTTGCCGTTTACTGAGCTTCAGGGAATCAAGGTGTTGCAAAATAGGAAACAGCCTGGCTTGCTGCTCCATAGAATCCAGCAGATTTGGAACAGCTATGTAACCCAGCACCTGCTTCAGTGAGCGCTCTCAGCTTGGAAGACTCTACTCCCTTCTGTTGTCATAGAAACCAGAAAGGCTGATCCAGCATCACACTCCCCTTAGTGGATGCTTTAGGTATAAGTCACTACATCAATCTAATGAGAAATGCAGCAATATATTGTTCTGAACCTTCTGGTGGTAGAAGCTGAATTCCCCCCACCCGGCAAGGTATTCCCAGACATCCATAGATAGATACCCTTGAGCTAAACAGTGGGCAGAAATTTAAATTTCTGTCAGAACACTGGTGACCAAGGAATTTTGCAGACTAGCAGTGCACACAACACATTTGATTGTTTTGTATTACCTTTCAGAGCTCCCTAGTTTAAGGTTTCTAAAAGTCACCCACAACACGTGACATTTTTCCCCTATGCCAAATCTCCATGTAAGAAAAAAAAAACCACAAAACTGTCCACAAGGGTGAAGTTCATTGGGATTTTTTAGTTTGCTACAAATACATTGACTGTGGAGCCAACATGTTTACAATCTTCCTTCCTTCCTTCCTTCCTTCCTTCCTTCCTTCCTTCCTTCCTTCCTTCCTTCCTTCCATTTCTTTTTCACACAGAATAAATAAAATTTATAAGTGGTCACTATGATACAAATGGATACTTGGCTTTATTCACTCTAAATAAGGGCATGGAACTTTCAACACATTTCTTGCTAAGGAAAGGCAGGATCAGGTTTGCATGCCCTTCTTCACATGTTCCAAGAATATGTGACGGCCATCACAGAGATACAGGGACTAGCTGTGCCTCCTGCCAACCACAGGATTGATAAGGGACGATAAGCACGTACATCGGGATGTAAGTAAAGATCCCTTCATGCAAGAGGGGACCCTGATTGGGTAGGAATCCCCCCTTACATGGGAAGTAGGTAAAGGTAAAGGGACCCCTGACCATTAGGTCCAGTCGTGACCGAGTCTGGGGTTGCGGTGCTCATCTCGCTTTATTGGCTGAGGGAGCCGGCGTACAGCTTACGGGTCATGTGGCCAGCATGACTAAGCCACTTCTGGCAAACCAGAGCAGCGCACAGAAACACCATTTACCTTCCCACTGGAGTGGTACCTATTTATCTACTTGCACTTTGACATGCTTTCGAACTGCTAGGTTGGCAGGCGCAGGGACTGAGCAACGGGAGCTCACCCTGTCGCGGGGATTCAAACCACTGACCTTCTGATCGGCAAGTCCTAGGCTCTGTGGTTTAACCCACAGCACCACCCGCATCCCACATGGGAAGTAGAGTTAACACAATTAGGTGCTAAGGTCCAGGTTTTGAATTCCAAATCAGCCACAGTACGTTACTGTTTGGGAATGTGTCCAAGAGGAATAATAGAGGGCAGGGGGTGGTGTTGTAAAAGAGAGAGAGAGAGAGAGATATCATGGATCTCCAGGAAATGTCACTCTAGCAAGAATTCTGTTACCACAAGGTACCTTGGTGACATTATGCTTGTACCATGGCTCAGATTTTTGAGGATGCAGCTTCTTTGGAAGAGAAATCTTTCTCCATTGCCTTACACATAGGAAGGGGTGTGTGTGGAAAAACAGAATAAATCGCCAGAAAATATTAGACTGGGAAAATGTCACCTCCAAAGAAGGACCCTAAGTTTATTGGGTAGGGGAAAGTATAGAAAAAACAAAGCCCCCCCTTTTTTTTACTGTTTACTTCATCATATCTTCCCCCAATTGAGTGTTAAACCACTCTGGAATTGTAGCTCTGTGGGGAGAATAGATGTCTTCAAACAATTCTAAGCCCCTTTAACAGACTACAGTTCACATAGTCATGACTATTTAAAGTGCTATAATACTGCCCTGGTTGGTTGGGTTTGTTTTTTACATGTTTGTTTCATGAAGTTATATATTGTTATTTTACATTGTTTTTAATGTTATATTTTAATGCTGCTACCTTCCCTAGGACCCTAGAGGGAAGGGCAGGTATAATAAATAATAATAATAATAAAAATGTCAGCATAGAGGTATTTTTTTCAAAGAGCTTTCTTTTAATGATGCACAGGAAAAAGACAAAAATAAAAGTTTTTTAAAAAATAAATAATTTTTAATGTAACACTTAGGGTACTTATGTTTTATTTAAATATTGTGCTAGAGCTTTGGCTTGCTCTTCATAAAGGCAAAGGGTTTTTTCCAGTTACGTCAGAGTAGACCCATTCAAATCAATAGACCTAAATGAGTTGCATCAATTCATTCCAGTGGATCTACTTGGAGCCCCTCCAATGTGAATCTGATGCTCTCATTGCTCTGGGGAGTCTCCTATATCAGAAAAAGCAATGGTTTGGAGCCAAAGCGAGTCATCCTTAAAGGAGACCCAGTGAAATCAATGGGACTTAAGTTAGTTTAAGGATGACTAACTCTGGATTCAATCTAATGGACCTCATGGCATCTAAAAGCCCAGACTTCTTTTTCTCACGTTTGAGCAGTTTGTCAGTTTCAGTCAAAGCACCATACCAACAGGCAGCTTTTAGACAGAAATATTCACACATTTCAAAGCCACTGCTCCCTTGAGCGTAGGCAGCAAAATTGCTTTTCACACTACCAGATTTTTTTTTCCATTTTAGCAAATCTGAAGGAAGGTATGAAATAGTTAACACAAACATTTTTTTGCCAGGCTGTTTGTAATAGAAACATACATTTTTTTTAACCCTCAGGCAGACATAAGTATGAGATAGAAAATATGGCTGCTGGGGAAGGCCTGTTAAAAAAAGGCAAATATACGCCCATAAAATAGGCTTTAAACTTTAAAGTTTAAATTAAATTCATTTTCTTCCACTCCATCAACCTGTGAATATAAAATAAGAGGTAATAGGCTGAAAATATGAACCTCATAAAATAAGCCTTATCCAACATAGGATAAGTTGTATCATTGTGATTTAAGTAATTATGTTTCAGATAGTCTCATTAGGAATTGCTATCCTTCACCATATTACAAACACAATGAATGTGCCATATTATTAAAACTAAATTCTGGAGAAGTGAGAAATCTTGGTATGCAATAGCCAAGAAAGAGAGCAATTATGCAGCAGTTGAAATGTACAACTGTTTTGTTAACCTAGAAGAAAAACAAAAGTGCAGGTTCGCTAATTTGTTGTCACCCGTGAGCTAAACAAGAAAAGATATTTTAGTGGCACTAAAGAATAAGAAATTAAATAAGCTCCTCTGTGCCATCCATCCTACTAAAAAGTAGCACACAGCATTGTAGGGGTAGCCAGTGTAGCTGCCCTTCAGAAGTCATGAACTATAGGCTCCCATCACATAGCCAGCATGGCCAACCCTGAGAGATGTTGAAAGTTAGCCCACAATATGTGGAGGGCACAGCTTTGGTTACCCTCAATGTTGATACTTTCTAACTGCCTTTGAAATCCCCTTTCCTCTCTCCCCATTGTTAAAGTGTGTGAGGAGGAGAAGAAGAAGTGTTTGGATTTGATATCCGAAGGAATCTCAAAGCGGCTAACATTCTCCTGTCCCTCCCCCACAACAAACACTCTGTGAGGTGAGTGGGGCTGAGAGACTTCAGAGAAGCTACACCACATGTAACTTATTCCATATTCAGACACTAACTATCTTCCCACCCTCCAACCTCACAATGATTCAAGTAAGAACCACTGCACACTCATGCCATCCATCCCATAGCATGTGAGGTTTGGTTTTTTTCGCTTCAGGGTAGGGCCACTATTTTGAGGTGGCTTTCATCTCCCTGATTTGTCCCCCATACAAACGTCTCCTAGTAATCAGGGTTTCTTGGTCTGTGCGCATCAGGTATGAGAGGGCTGAATCAGAACCTGCTGGCTCCTGATTCAATGAGCAACAGACATTTCAGGCCATGCATTAGAAACTGCTGAGCTAGAGAGTCAGCTAACTGAGAGCAGCCAATCCCACTCTGCTTCCTCTTATCCAGCTTTAAGGTCTAATATGCCACCATGGTGTAGTGGTTAAGAGCGGTGGACTCATAATCTGGTGAACTGGGTTCACTTCCCTGCTCCTCCACATGCAGCTGCTGGGTGACCTTGGGCCAGTCACACTTCTCTGAAGTCTCTCAGCCTCACTCACCTCACAGAGTGTTTGTTGTGGGGGAGGAAGGGAAAGGAGAATGTTAGCCACTTTGAGACTCCTTAAGGGGAGTAAAAGGCTGGATATCAAGTCCAAACCCCTCCTCCTCCTCCTCCTCTTCCTCCTCAGTCTAGGTAACATGTTGCTGAGGAAAGCCATTAGGTTTCTCCTCTGTACTTTCCTGCTCCCCGTCTGCCTGATGTGCGAATGTCTCCCATGCTTAAGATCTTTGTCTTTTCCAGCCTAGTTGCATCTGACTTTCCTTCACTCTTAACTTGGGTTTATGGAACACCTGGCGGTGTATCATAAAGTTTAGTTATAAAATTTTCTTAATAGCCCTGAGAGTGAGTAATGCAAGTTGCATAGTTAATATGAATAACAATTGGCCATTGTGTACATTCACCACACCTCATGGGGAATTAATCTGACCATGGAGAGGGAATGGTGCACATTTACTTGTCAAAATACATAATCTCCAATAGGCCTTGTGGGATGGGCAGATCGCAGCTGCATCACACACACACTCTTGCTATTATGTATAACTTCCAACAGAACAGACCCTGAGACCTTCAAATTCAGGACTTTCCTCTGTGAAGTCAGACACATGTATGGCCTACCAACCCCAACAATGGGGCAAGGTGGGGTGGCAGGATCCACAGGGGCAGCAGATCTGTCCTCCAAGAATGCATCGCCTTCTGCTGCAGCCACCATGCTAACTGGGGCTAACTTGCAATACCTGTACCAGTCAAAATCACCATGGCAGATTTTGAAAGCTGAGCCTTCAAATGAGCAACTGAGCCTGATGTCAATGTCTACTTGGAAGAATTTCATAAATATTTCAATTTTTATATTATACTAATATATGGTGGCAGACACAATAAATACACCACTGTATATGTATGTAGTACACAACAGACAGTGTTTTTTTTTTAAAAAAAC